GAGAGGAATCATAGAGCCAATACAGCAGCACACGAGAGGAATCATAGAGCCAATACAGCAGCACACGAGAGTAATCATAGAGCCAATACAGCAGCACACGAGAGGAATCATAGAGCCAATACAGCAGCACACGACAGTAATCATAGAGCCAATACAGCAGCACGCGAGAGTAATCATAGAGCCAATACAGCAGCACACGAGAGGAATCATAGAGCCAATACAGGAGATGGTCACCAAGGGCTGGTCTTGTGCTTTTATCTATGCTATTCAGGAATTCCCTGGAGGGGGGGAATGTTAACCTCCTCCTCCCCCACAATAACACACCCCTCCTCCGAGCCTTCCCCCCCATATCATCCCCCACCATAATCCCCCCCCACTCCCTCTATCCTCCTCAGTCATTACAATCCCCTTCCCTCCCCCCCCCCCCTTCCTTCTGCTGGCTTCTACCTCCTCCTCTCCCCTTCCAAACATTCATCTCTACGGCCTCCACAAGTCCATCAGATCCCGTTCCTCTTATCTCTTTTCCGTTTATTTTCCTCCACTCAACTTTTCCCCATTTTCCTAACCCTGTCCTCTCTTTTCCCTACTCTTCCGTCTCCTCCTACTCCCTTACCATCTTCTCTCCTTTCACTCTTTATCTTCGGTTTTTCTTTTTTTTCTTTATGTCTTTCCTTCGCCCGTTTCTTTTCCATTCCTTTCTCTGCTCGTTCTCTTCATCTATTTTACTCTCCTCCTCTTTCTTATGATTTCTCTTTCCCTTGATATTCTGCCTCTCCCCAACCATTCCTCATGTTCTATCCCTCCCAGTTATATACCCCTTCCCCCGTTCCCATTCCATTTGATTCTTCCTTCACTTCCCTCTCTCCCCAACATCCTCTACCTCCCTCCCTCCTCTCCCTCTCCTCTCCCACTCCTCTCCTTCCTCTCTCTCCTCTTATCAGCGTTCTTTGCCAGAGTCTGCTTCGCTGGTCTCTCAACAAACTCTGATGTATACACACGCAAGTGTCGGTGTATGAATCTGTATGTTATTTTATGTAAAGTGGGTACACCGCTTTTATGTAAGCCTATGTATAATTCGTTTTGCTGGAGACAGGAAGCCTGTATATATATACTTTATGCTTGTATCGATAACAAGCACGGTTGAACTACTGACCGTTTCCATTATGCAAAGCCAGTTGGACAGCGTTAATATAATGTGTGTTAAATGTAAAGCTCACGTATATCTAGTTTTTTTTTCTCAGACACTGAATTATTATTGGTACTGTTTTTATAAGAGAATACTAGAGTCATATCAAGATGCTTATGTTGAATCTCAGTGAAGGTTTTCCGCCCCTGCAGAGACGCAGTAAATCTTACGGCCCATGTGTTCAGCACATGACTTGAATTCCATCAGGCAGAGCTACGAACAGTGTGGTATAAACTCTCTATATCAGATATTTTCCTGCGAGCCTTTTATTTGATGTGATTATTTTAGTTTTGAGAAATATTTACATTTCGACAGGCCCATGTATGATTCTTTGAGTTTATAATGTACATATGTTATATGTTTACATTGGTGTATATCATATGCATTGGCATATGACATATTTGTGATATGTTATGTCATTTACTGTGGTACGCCATACATATGCCGTCATACATTTGCATTGTTGTATCATATATACATTGTCTAGTGTCATATGTCATATTTATAATGGCAAATGTCACATATACACTGTTATATGCAATATTCACACTATCATCTTTACAGATACAATTTCTTGATTTAGAAGTCATATTTCCTACTTACGCCTGAGGGCAGTAATATTCCGGGAACATCAACTAAATTTCGGAGACTTGAGGCAGAGTGAAATTCACACCAGTTGCTCCATCTATCATCATTCTATTATGCAGGAAGTACCGCACGTCTATGGGTCATCCAATAATGTTAGCAGACTTCTAGATGTTACCACTGCTAGGCTTAGGCTCGGCTACAAGTACCACTGGGAGTTTGTAACATCTGCTAATGTTGATCTGATTAAATGTAAACTCTGTCAGCAGAACTATTCGCATACTTTGCGCCATTATATAATGGAACGTGAAAAAATAAAGGAATTTAGAGATTACACCATCATTAGTGTCCAAGAAATGTGTACTTCAACTTCATTCATAATGATGTGCTGCCCGAAATCTTGTCGAAGTATCGAAAATTTGCTTACTGTAGGTAATGCATGCACATGACTGTAAAGCTGCCGCCCAGTTGGGTGGGTGTGCAGCAAGACTAGTAACTGTGTGACTCACCATAGATGTAAAGTGCCTTGTATAGTGACTGTTGTGAGCCTCTTGTTGAATCACTTGTGATACAAAAGATTATTGATGAGTGCATTTGTGTAGGTGATTGAATATGTACGTGTATGTATATATGTATATGTATATATATGTGCATGTATGTATGAGTATGTGTACATGCATATATAACATTAATAATTGTGTAACTAGCGTCAAAAGATTGTTATTTGCTTAGCTAAACGAACTATGGGGTTCAGTTCCTGAACCGATTATATGCCTCTGTAACCCTTTACACCACAGCCCACGGGATGGGTATGGGATGCATAATAAAGAAAGAAATTGAATTCTCTGTTATATGCTTCAGATACATTGTCATATATCATATGTATAGTGTCATATATCCAACAATCAGGTGTTCGAAACACGACTGAAAGAATACATAAACAATTGTCACAATCAATCCCCCCTCTCATCTAAAGCAAGGCTTCTTGTTTGGGTAATAATGGTAATGTTAAACACAATGTCTCCCTCAAAATGCCTCATAGACGGAGGTATTCTTGTTTACATAAACGGTTGTCAGCATGCTTGCCAAAGTTCTTAGAGAACTTACAGTTGGCCTATGTGATATACTGAGCCCATTATTTGCCTCTGTACATTTTTCCACTATCACCCACATGATGGGTATGGGGTCCACTACTACCCACACGATTGGTATGGGGGGTCTAATACTATGAACATGATGGATATGGGGTCCACTACTACCCACACGATGGGTATGGGGGTCTAATACTATGAACATGATGGGTATGGGGTCCACTACTACCCACACGATGGGTATGGGGGTCTAATACCACACACATGATGGGTATGGGGTCCACTACCACCCAAACAATGGGTATGGGGGTCTAATACCATACACATGATGGGTATGGGGGTCCACTACCACCCACACAATGGGTATGGGGGTCTAATACCATACACATGATGGGAATGGGGTCCACTACCACTCACACAATAGGTATGGGGGTCTAATACTAGGAACATGATGGGTATGGGGTCCACTACCACCCACACAATGAGTATGGGGGTCTAATACTATGAACATGATGGATATGGGGTCCACTACCACCCACACAATGAGTATGGGGTCTAATACTATGCACATGATGGGTATGGGTTCCCCTACCACCACGGGATGGGTATGGCGTGCATAATAGATTAACAAAATCAGTCAATTCCAAATACAATCCTCGTGTTACTACACCAACCCTCCGAATGCCCTCAGACGCGACTCGATTAATGGTTGGGGTGATCTGTAGGGATTCAGCTTCTCGCCGGCTGGAATATAGCTTCTATAAAAACGATATACGTTAACGGCACATTCAATTGTACTGTCAGCTTGGTGATTGTGTAGACAGCTGGGTCGCCAGGAGGAGGAGGAGGGAGTGGTAAGGTGTTGTCCTGGACACAAGAGTCTGGGGTGTTTGAAGGTACACCAGCTTTCCTCTCCTGAGGTAAAAACAACAGACAGGGTGTAGGGAGAAACAGTCAAGGTGTTGCATGTTTTTTTTTTTACCCTTAACACAAACACGGTTTGTTTGAAGTAAAATCAATGGATAACAAACTTCGAGTTTAGAAGATCACCCAAAACAATATATATATATATTTATATATATATATATATATATATATATATATATATATATATATATATATATATATATATATATATATATATATATATATATATAAATATATATATATATAAATATATATATATATATATATATAAATATATATATATATATATATATATATATATATATATATATATATATATATATATATATATATATATATATATATAAATATATATATATATATATATATATATATATAAATATATATATATATAAATAAATATATATATATATATATATATATATATATATATATATATATATATATATATATATATATATATATATATACATCTAGTAGCATGCTATCAATATTTCTCCCTTGAAAAAAAATATGTTTATAAAGTTCTCATCATATAAAAGAAAGTAAAATTATAGCATCCTAAATTATTTTTTAAATTAAATTCCCTGCTTTTATCTGTACGAGAGACCGTGCCTCCCCCCCCCCAACACCACGGAGAACCCCCATATTTTAGAGTCCACTGGGACAACGATTCATATATACAAAGAAAAACAAATAATTTATTTATAAACAGTTTTAAATTGGTAATTCCCATTTTACTTGATTTCTGACATTATTTTTTTTTTTTACAAATTGGATCTGCACTATAAATGTACACGGATTGGGTCCATATAGCAGCGATATAATTTTTATAGCAAGCATCTAGTAGATGAAAGATGAAGAGTAGTTGGGTTCGGCTGTGACGAGTCTACTTGCAACAGCCAACGGGTTTGCAGACTTCCTTTACGGAAGTTATACAAAGTTATACAATGTAATACAGAGCGTTGTGTTGGGGGAGGAGGCCCGGTGTAGAGGGGAAGGGGGAGAGGTTAAGGTCTGGTGTTACACAGAGAGTAGACAGGAGGCACACAGCAAAAATTAAGGACCTGAAAGCGGAAATAATATATTAGCTAAGCTGCATGCGATAATAACTAAGTCAAATGACCAAAAAAGTTGTTATTTTTTGGGGGGGGGGAGAAGAGGAAGTAGAATGGGAGGTAGAGAAGTGCGGAGAAGAGAACACGACATACCCCGCCATCCAGCGTGGCGCCTCGCTACCAAGCGTAACGACGACACCCGCACACAGGAGAATAACGCATCAGCGGTTAAAAGAATTTGTGACACTTGATCATACTCAGCGTGTGTAGCGCTGCTGGGTGTCGGGGGGCGGCGAGGCGGCAGAGTGGAAGGCTTCACACAGGTGAGAACACCCATCCAACACGGCCACCCTTCTTCTCCGACGTGTGCAACCGCTCCTGCATGGTCTTCCTCGTCTCCAATGGCACTCCGCCTCTGTTTCGGCCGGACGCGATATCCACTCCCCGGCCCGCTCCTCCCACAGAAGGCGCCCCACAGGAGGCGCTGTGGGATCAGTGAATGCTGCCAGCGACTCTTAAACTGGCGGCAGCAGGGACAAGCCTGGTGGGGTGTAATCCGACCGGAGCACAGTACCACGCGCGACCACGGTATCTGCCACAGTGGCCCCGACAACTGAGTTACCATATCCGTCTCCTGGTATCTTTACTGGGCCTCCGACCAGTTAAATAGTTGCCAAGGGCCACACGTTTAGTGGGTGTAGGTGGTGGATAGGAAATATCTGTGAGGTTATAAGGGAAAATGGTTTTATTTAGAGCTAATGCACTTACTATTGATATATTGTGGTGATATATTGCAATACCCTTGCATGAAATACATTTAGGAAAAAACGTATGATTCGTTGCTATTGCAAACCTCGCTTAGGTATTTAAATCAAAATAATGAACTATGGTTGTTGAGGATTACAAACAATGCAATATTAAAACGCTGGAAATTATTTAGAACTCTAACTAGATAATGATGATCTGTTGGTAATGAATGACGGGTTTTCATTTGATTATCATAGAAAATGGAATGTTTCAATGAGATACGAACTCTCCTATTACAGAGGTTGTTAAGTGTTAAATACTAAATAACTGATCTCCTAAACCAATACATTATCTAGACACAGTAGACCTGTCGGGTTGAATAACAGGTTACTGAGCTACACAGAACATTGGTGGATCTCGCTAGCATTGATTGCTCTAAATTATACATACACATTTCCTCCATTTTAAAACAGATGATAACCGTGTATTTAGTAACACGAACAGCGCAAAATTTGAGCCCTTCTAACTAAATGAATGTTCTAATATTTTGCATTTTGCCTTCTAACAGTGCCTTGAGGCACTAACTTTGAATGCAAGCTTGTCCAGAAAGTAGGTGAATATAGTAGGGAATTGACTCTTTGTTAATGAGCTTAGACCTTTTTCTTTCCATTGATAATCTTAAATCTTACCCTGGAACACGACCTGCCAAACAAATTATAACCAGGAGGTCTTTGGTGGAACACCCACACACAGTGTGTGTGTGTGTGTGTGTGTGTGTGTGTGTGTGTGTGTGTGTGTGTGTGTGTGTGTGTGTGTGTGTGTGTGTGTGTGTGTGTGTGTGTGTGTGTGTGTGTGTGTGTAGAAAGAACGGTAGAGAGAAGTGTAGAAAGAAGCGTCAGTAGAAAGAACTTTTTTAGTGTCAGAGTGGTTGACAAATGGAATGCATTAGGAAGTGATGTGGTGGAGGCTGACTCCATACACAGTTTCAAGTGTAGATATGACAGAGCCCAATAGGCTCAGGAATCTGTACACCTGTTGATTGACGGTTGAGAGGCGGGACCAAAGAGCCAGAGCTCAACCCCCGCAAACACAACTAGGTGAGTACAACTAGGTGAGTACACACACACACACACACAAATGCACCTCATAACACTAGAAGGCAGAAGATTAAGGGAAGACATGATCATTACCTACAAAATTCTCAGAGGAATTGACAAGGTAGATAAAGATAAACTGTTGAACATGAGGGGGGCGGGACGGTACGCGAACAAGGGGACACTGTTGGAAGCTGAGTACCCACATGAGCCACAGGGACGTTAGAAAGAAATTTTTCAGTGTCAGAGTAGTTAACAGGTGGAATGCATTAGGCAATAATGTGGTGGAGGCTGACTCCATAAACAGTTTGAAATGTAGATATGATAGAGCCCAGTAGGCTCAGGAACCTGTACACCAGTTGATTGACGGTTGAGAGGCGGGACTAAAGAGCCAGAGCTCAACCCCCGCAAGTAAAACTAGGTGAGTACAACTAGGTGAGGTCACAGAGAATAATCACACTAATGTGACTGCATCAATGAGAAAATCCGTAGGAGCCGTGACGAGGGTTCAAACCCGTGTACTGGGTGTTCCCCTGCACATGCCCTACACAATCTGTGTATTGTGTATACTGTGTATTGAGAGAGAAGCGTCAGTGGTAGAACATTCCTAGATTAGGGAACCGATTCGTGTATGCCGGGATTGTGTAAAGTGTATGGCGGGATTGTGTAAAGTGTATGGCGGGATTGTGTGAAAATCCTGTTTCGGCTTCAGTGGAAGACTCAGGAAACCCTTGTGGGTTCAGTAGAACTCCAGATTACAGTCCTTATTCCATGTCGTGGCCTGGTTGTCTGGAGCGTGTGCGTAGGACTACCTACCGCGTAGGTTTGAACCCTCATTACGGCTTCTATGGATTTTCTCATTGATGCAGTCACGTTAGTGTGATTACTCTCTGTGTATTATTATTATTGAGAAAATCAGTAGAAGCCACGAGGAGGATTCAAACCTATGAGCTGGGTACTCCCATGCAAACGCTATACCACGACATGGTCCAAAGCATTGCAACCTGGGATTCAACTGCATCTTCTAGGAGAGTCACGAACCTTCCACTGAAGCCCAATCAGGGTTTCATATAACGCTCCACCCCCCATGTACTCTGGTTCACGGTACAAGCAGCCTATCCTCCGAATAGACAATACTTTTTAATATTAAATGTAATAAGTACAATACTTTCTATCGGCTTAGTACATAAATACACTTAATCGCCAGCAGCGCACCAAAATAATGTGAATATTAAAGTTTACCTGAAAAGCTGTATAAGAAAACCACGACCTAACCTAACCTTGGGAGTGTAGGACAAGCATATAAATAGCATTTATTGCTTCTTAATTACAATTAGTACTTAACCTATTGCTATATTGATATTACAATTTTATAAAACTAATAAAACAAAACTAATGTTTTTCAATAAATTATAAAGTAACTCGGAATATTTTCAAATTTTGTATAAAATCTCTATTGTTTAATAAAAACGAAAAATAATTTTGTTTATATTTAAAACTTGTGTAATTAGTATTGAACACAAACTTCAACCTAAAAATTTTGAATATATTTAAAGAAAATGAGGAGAATATATAGGGAGGTAACTGCACAGTTAAGTGTACTTTTGTACTATGCAGACAGTCAGGAATGTACTTATTTCATTTAGTATTAAAACGTATTGTCTATTCGGAGGATGGGTTGGATACAAGAGTTCTTCCTCCAACGCTTCTCCTCAAATACTAAATAGACCTCACATTAACGTGATGAACCAATGACAAAATTAGTAGGAGCCGTGAGGATGCAGGTAAATCCCAGGTTGCAATGCCTTTGACCATGTCGTTGCATAGTCGACTAGAACATGCATCTGGGAACACCCAGAGTATAGGTTCGAATCCTCCTCAATGCTTCTACTGATTTTGTCATTGATACATCACATAATGTGATTTGTTTATGCATTATTATTATTATTATTATTAATATTATTATTATTATTATTATTATTATTATTATAACCATTATTACTATTTTGTATTTTCAGAAACTGTCTGCACTGATCATGCCAAAATTAAAAAAAAAATCTAACCAAAATCACGTTTAAATTCAATTCACTTTGATGCTATATTTTCCTTTAGACTTTCTGAATTGTATGTGAATGAAATTATTGTGGCAAAGTGTTCTTATAGGGTTATAGATTAGTGATATTGTAGGCAAGAGGGGGAAAAGGGAGACAAATCGGGAGAGGGGGGACAGGGGGAGAGGGGGGGACAGGGGGAGAGGGGGGACAGGGGGAGAGGGGGGACAGGGGGAGAGGGGGGGACAGGGGGAGAGGGGGACAGGAGGAGAGAGGGGGAATAGGGATATGTGGATGTGGTAAAGGAAGAGAGTAATGAGGTGGGGGTAGAGGTAAAGTAGGGGGGGGGGGGTTGGAGGTTAAAAATATATTGCCTGGGAGGTCGAGCTCCAGTAGATTGCCTGGGAGGTCGAGCTCCAGTAGATTGCCTGGGAGGTCGAGCTCCAGTAGATTGCCTGGGAGGTCGAGCTCCAGTAGATTGCCTGGGAGGACGAGCTCCAGTAGATTGCCTGGGAGGACGAGCTCCAGTAGATTGCCTGGGAGGACGAGCTCCAGTAGATTGCCTGGGAGGACGAGCTCCAGTAGATTGCCTGGGAGGACGAGCTCCAGTAGATTGCCTGGGAGGACGAACGTTAGGAGATTAATCAACGTTTGTCACGGGTTTGTATCTTTTTACAGAAAGCTTTGGTCACCAGTATATTTCGCAATAGCTGTCAAATACATTCCATTGTGTTAGTGTTTTAAAGTATTTCAATTTGTGAAAAATGAATTTACACTTTATTGCGACTGTGACAGTTCTTGACACAATGTGGATTGAATATATTTTGAAATGTTGGAGTTTGTTTGTTTAACAGACAGCCGCAGCCTCACACAGTGAAAGGCATGCAAGAAACACTGGTAGATTAACGCTCACACAGTCATACACATATGCATGCAGATTAGGGAAGGTATACACATTCCTACATACATGTTCACACACACACACACGCACATACATTATATATATATATATATATATATATATATATATATATATATATATATATATATATATATATATATATATATTGTGACGGTAAAGTGTTGGAGTGTTGATGTTCGGCAGTCCTCCAATGGCAGGTGTCAATGCCTTGTCACACTTACAAAAAAAAAAGAGACTGCTTGCCTGTGGTAAGGTAAAGGGAAGACACGCAAAACACAAAATATAAACAATGAAATTTTAATTACTTTAGAAAACAAGATATGAACAAAGACAATCCCTTGGCTTACGTAAAATTCAAAACAAGTCAACAAACAAAACAACATGAATAATTACTAGATATGAAAATTTACTCTACAATAAAATAATGTGCAAGACAATAAATATCAGGTGCTGAGAATATTGGCTATAGCTGCTACCTCCCTTAGTACACGACAGCCAGGGCTTAGTATACCAGAGAGAGATGTCAACTTCTAAGAGCACAGGAATATTCTGAGGAGGACGGCTTGAGCTGGCCCAGACGTCGACTCAGGTAGAGGGCGCGAGTGCAGGTGCAGGTGTGCTGTCGGCGACACACCAGCCAATCAGGAGCAGGCAGGCGGAGAATGGGTAGTTAGCTCGTTGACGACGGGCGGTGAGCCGGCGTGACGGGTGGAACAAGGTACGCTTTGCTTCCTGGTCAAAACGTTTTGTGCTACCGGTGGACGTATCTTGAATGTAGCATCTTGTACTTGTAAATGACGTGACTGATATAGGGAAGAGCAGGCTCAATCTCTCTTGAAAGAGATTATCGTCACAAAATATATATATATATATATATATATATATATATATAAATATATATATATATATATATATATATATATATATATATATATATATATATATATATATATATATATATATATATATATATCGTACCTAGTAGCCAGAACGCACTTCTCAACCTACTATGCAAGGCCCGATTTGCCTAATAAGCCAAGTTTTTCTGAATTAATATATTTTCTCTAATTTTTTTCTTATGGAATGATAAAGCTACCCATTTCATTATGTATGAGGTCATTATTTTTATTGGAGTTAAAATTAATGTAGATATATGACCGAACCTAACCAACCCTACCTAACCTAACCTAACCTAACCTATCTTTATAGGTTAGGTTAGGTTAGGTCGCCTTTACTCCTGCCTGCTGCTCCAACTTTTGTAACAGCCTTTTGTGAGGTACTGTGTGTGTATATGTGTGTGCGTGCGCGTGTGTGTGTGTGCGTGAGTGTGTGTGTGTGTGTGTGTGTGTGTGTGTGTGTGTGTGTGTGTGTGTGTGTACTCACCTATTTGTACTCTTCTATTTGTGCTTGCAGGATCGAGCATTGACTCTTGGATCCCGCCTTTCCAGCTATCGGTTGTTTACAGCAATGGCTCCTGTCCCATTTCCCTATCATATCTAGTTTTAAAAGTATGAATAGTATTTGCTTCCACAACCTGTTCCCCAAGTGCATTCCATTTTTCCACTACTCTCACGCTAAAATAAAACTTCCTAACATCTCTGTGACTCATCTGAGTTTCCAGTTTCCACCCATGTCCCCTCGTTCTGTTATTATTACGTGTGAACATTTCATCTATTTCCACTTTGTCAATTCCCCTGAGTATTTAATATGTCCCTATCATATCTCCTCTCTCCCTTCTTTTCTCTAGTGTCGTAAGGTTCAGTTCCTTCAGACGCTCTTCATATCCCATCCCTCGTAACTCTGGGACAAGCCTCGTCGCAAACCTCTGAACTTTCTCCAGTTTCTTTATGTGTTTCTTCAGGTGGGGGCTCCATGATGGCGCGGCATACTCTAAGACGGGTCTCACGTAGGCAGTGTAAAGCGCCCTAAAAGCCTCCTCATTTAGGTTTCTGAATGAAGTTCTAATTTTTGCCAGTGTAGAGTACGCTGCTGTCGTTATCCTATTTATATGTGCCTCAGGAGTTAGATTAGGTGTCACATCCACTCCCAGGTCTCTTTCTCGAATCGTTACAGGTAGGCTGTTCCCCTTCATTGTGCACTGTCCCTTTGGTCTCCTATCACCTGATCCCATTTCCATAACTTTACATTTACTGGTGTTAAACTCCAGTAGCCATTTCTCTGACCATCTCTGCAACCTGTTTAAGTCCTCTTGGAGGATCCTACAATCCTCGTCTGTCACAACTCTTCTCATTAATTTTGCGTCATCCGCAAACATTGACATGTATGATTCCACTCCTGTAAACATATCATTTACGAAAACTAGAAAGAGGATTGGTCCCAGCACCGATCCTTGAGGTACTCCACTTGTTACTGTTCGCCAGTCCGACTTCTCGCCCCTTACCATTACCCTCTGGCTCCTTCCTGTTAGGTAGTTCTTCACCCATGTGTGTGTGTTTGTGTGTGTGTGTGTGTCGTACCTAAAAGCCAGCGTTGCCTAATCGAGCAAGCAAAACAAGTGTCCAAAACTGGTCGCCTTAATTCCGAGGGTTACAGCTTACTGAAACCAGTGTGAAAGGTCATAAATTTTCCCTGAAACATTCACAGTCTGTGTCGGAGCCTCGCACCTTGGCTCTGTTGCATAAATATTGCACGGGGCTTCCGCCTGTACACCCACTCTCCTGTCTCTCAAGGGGAAACAAAGATAAAAGATTCGTGTAAAGACGAATCAACGCGCCCTGTGTCCTTGTGTGAACCCGTATTTTGTTCTCGAGCTGAACTACGTGTGTTGCGAATATTATTGTCGGCAATTGTTAACTGTCCGCACGTATTGACAGATGTTACCTATGGGCAGGTAGTGACAGATATTAACTATCGACAGGTATTAACAGGTGTTAACGGTAGTAGCGTCTCCTGCCTCTCTCTTTTTTTGCGTCTCCAAAAACACATCAGTTCTCCATACAGTAAAAAGACAAATCACTTGGGCTGGACGAAAGGGCGACGGCCTCGCTTCATTCAGGTCGGCGTTCAACCCCCCGATCCAATCCAATCCATCCCGACCGACCAGACGTCGGGGACCATCCCCGACCAATCTAAGTGGTTGGGCACCATTTCTTCACCTCGTCCCATCCCAAATCCTTATCCTGACCCCTTCCAAGTGCTTATATAGTCGTATTGACTAGGCTCTCTTCCCCCTGATAGTTCCCTTTCCTTCCATACAATAAATCACATTTAAACACAATGTCTTGGCAAAATATACTTGGGTGGACTCGCCCCTTTGACCAGGCCTGCTTGTGAAATCTTAGCACAGGGAGGAACCTTTTGATCATCAAGTAGAGGCGTTACTGATTATTCAATATATCACATTAGTCTTGTTAGCTTGTGTGTGTGTATGTGTGTGTGTATATGTGTTCACCCAGTTGTGTTCACCTAGTTGTGTTTACGGGGGTTGAGCTTTGCTCTTTCGGCCCGCCTCTCAACTGTCAATCAACTGTTTACTAACTACTTTTTTTTTCCACGCTACACACACACCCCAGGAAGCAGCCCGTGACAGCTGACTTACTCCCAGGTACCTATTTACTGCTAGGTAACAGGGGCATTCAGGGTGAAAGAAACTTTGCCCATTTGTTTCTGCCTCATGCGGGAATCGAACCCGCGCCACAGAATTACGAGTCCTGCGCGCTATCCACCAGGCTACTAGGCCCCCTCGTAGTGTGTGTGTGTGTGTGTGTATGGTGTGTGTGTGTGTGTGTGTGTGTGTGTGTGTGTGTGTGTGTGTGTGTGTGTGTGTGTGTGTGTGTGTGTGTGTGTGTGTGTGTGTGTGTGTGTGTGTGTGTGTGTGTGTGTGTGTGTGTGTGTGTGTGTGTGTGTTTCGTACCTAATAGTCAGCGTTGCCTAAAAAAAAAAAATACATATACATATTATTTTTCCGAAGATTTAACCAGTGGTCTGATAGGTATGTTTAATTTAATGACTAAATCACAATTAAATTTTAATGTGAGCCTAGACAAAATGAATAACATGAACTAACAAACTCACTCTTTTAACGTCATTGAGGTCGTTGAGGTTGTTGAGGTCGTCTTGCAGTAATTACCCCCCTCTGTCTTTACTCAACCCCCTGCCTTTGGCGTCGTCTGCGATAATTGTCATGTTGGGACCGGCCTCTTCAGTTCTTGTCTATTTCATCTAGTTGTTTACAGGGGATCCATGTTCGAATAACTAGACCAGAAGGTTAACTGCAGCATATGCAGTTTACCGAATATCCGGGAGCTCCCTAATCTCTAAAGTACTAAGAAATTGCGTCACACGTCCCATTCAACAGCTGGCCACGTGACACCAAATTGCGTCACACGTCTCACTCAACAGCTGGTCACGTGTCACCAAATTACGTCACACGTCCCCCTCAACAGCTGGCCACGTGACACCAAATTACGTCACACGTCCCCCTCAACAGCTGGCCACGTGTCACCAAAATACGTCACACGTCCCCCTCAACAGCTGGCCCACGTGAAAACAAATGAAGTAAGACTTCACCCTTCAACAGCTGGTCACCTGACATCAAATAACGTCAAGCGACAGCCTCAACAGCTGGTGACGTGACAACAACTGACGTCAGACAACCTTCGTGACAGCTAACCATGTGAGAAGGAATGCATTCTACTATAGTCTTGCGTTGTCACGTATTGATATTTTTAGTGTACAATTAAAACTTGTTTATTGCCAAGACAAATAGTAAATTTCTATGAATTACTAAATATAAGATCGGAACACTAGGGAATCTCTGAAGAAGGTAAGAACGCATCTGGGATTCACTACAAGAGCATATGGGACGCTTCTACTATCTATTATCTTCAGCAGTCCCTAATAAAACAGTGGGCGTACGATTGCCGAGGCACGGAAGACATCTCCTGTCACGCAGGGTGCAGTCGCACCTCCACAGATCTCCAGTATCAGCTCTTGATACTGGTAATGGCTCAAAAGGGCCAAAACTTACGGGCTATTCATGCCCGTGCCACCTTTTGGGTGGCTTAATCTTCATCAATCATCAATCGATTGCCAAGGAATCAAAGCAAGATCCGCGAGCTTGTTATAGCGTCATACACACACTATACGAACTATAAGAACAAGCAACGGAGACCAAAAAAACAATGTGGAGGAGGAGGAGGGCCCCGGCGGCCGCCTTGATAACCCAGCAGGGACGGATGTGGAGCCCTCACAGTCACCCATTGTCAGAGATACTGTGTGTGAGCGTGGTCACGCGCCTTGCTAAGGGCGCACACTACCAGAAAGTGTACACAGAGCGCAGTGTACAATCTGCGCATGTATATGTTCCATCGACCCGTCGCCAGCTGTTGGTTATGGCACCATTAAGCATCGTTTGGGCGAAAGAAACATACAAGAAACGGGTGTTTTCGAGTAGCTGAGGAGTCCCGTCTGGAGAGGCTGTAGTGCCAGTTGAGGGCATACCAGTGCCCCTGTCCGATGGCCACAACCCGCGGGATGATCACGCAGCCAACCACTAACGTCGCCCTGTGAGGCAGCAGCAGCAGGAGGTATGTTAATATTTTCCTCGTCATAAAAACAACAGAAACATTGGATCGCTTGGTATATGAACTATCCTTGTTCCTCAAAACAATAGACAATTTGTGTTGCGTATTGACGCGTTGGTTGGTGTCCGTGTGTTGTGCTAGAGTTCCAGTAATGACTAACGTTTACACTGCTGGATGTTCACACTATAAGAAGCGATACCAATTACAAATTAATATTTAACCTATACGTAACTGGAACATAAAATATACACGGAGATGTGAAGTCATAATAATGTTTTAAGGCTTGATATTGTGTTGGCAACGCACTTTAACTTACCGGAAATGGGTGGGACTGTGACCGGTGACTTCCTATGACCACATGTCCGGGCCGTTGACATGGTCTGCCCCACCGTCGGCCATTTTACAATAATGGTTTAAATAAACCACCGGAACACTCCAATATAATATGGAGATGTTGACCAAAACCACACACTAGAAATTGAAGAGACGACGACGTTTCGGTCCGTCCTGGACCATTATCAAGTCGATTGTGGACCATTATATTATCACGTATAATATGGATATATCTATTCATTTTAAAATATGCACTGCTAAAAACGTCTCAACCAAGAAATTTCGATTTCACAGTAAAAAATACTGTTAGGGAAATGTTCTGGTCTTTAGGTGTTTCCTCTTTTTCCCCAAGTGTTCAGGTTAAAAATATGGCGTTATTATAGTGGCCTCAGAGGTACTACTGGGTAATTGACCTCACGTAGAAGGTCAATCACATTAGCAGAGGCAGAGAGATGCTCAGAGCGCAGCAGGTGTCGTCACCAGCAACCACGAAGGTCAGGTCACCCGTTGCTGTGTCCCCCGATAACAAGATAACCAGAGCAACACCAGCCTACAGCCGAGAGTAATGTCAACAATAAGCACGGCTGTGGTGCTGTGGTTCTTAATTCTTTAATTCAGGAACTGATTCACTGACGAATCTGTTAGTCTGCGTATATTAAAGCCACAGCGACATATATATATATATATATATATATATATATATATATATATATATATATATATATATATATATATATATAACTTGAGGTAAAATACTTATATAATTTATGATTTATAAAGTACCGATGTGTACCAAACACTCGTGTGTTTGGTACACAAGCGGATATTATACATGATATATATGATATAATATGCAGCGGATATTACCAAGACTGGCAAGTCCAGTGGAAGAGGCTACTCCTCCTTACCTCCACAGTGGTTTATCTTACTTTATAAAGATGAGGGAGGAGACGCATAGCTAACGAGAAAATAAAGGTTTAACAAAGAATAGACATGTTAAATAAAGCTTTATTTATTTAAACAAAGAATAGACAAGTTAAATAAAGCTTTATTTATTTAAACAAAAAATAGACAAGTTAAATAAAGCTTAAGGACAGAAGAGACAATTTAAATACAGCTTAAGGAAAGAATAGACAAGTTAAATAAAGTTTAAGGAAAGACTAGACAATTTAAATAAAGCTTAAGACAAGTATAGACTAATTAAATAACGCTTAAGGAAAATATAAACAAATAAAACTCAAGGAAAGAAATGGTAATATAATAAAGATACACGTGATAGAGACACAATATCTAATGATGATAGAGATAGATGTTACGTAGAATATTTATTTATTTTTATTTAATTCTTTTATTTACAAATACAAGAGTTCTTACATTCTCGTACAGCCACTAGCACGCATAGCGTTTCGGGCAGATCCTTAAGCCTAATTTTTCCATGGAACACGACCCGCCAAATCGTTTAAGAACCAGGTACCCATTTTACTGTTGGGTGAACAGAGACTACAGTTAAGGATTGACGGCAAGTAAATCCTCCCCGGCCAGGATGCGAATCCAGGCCAAAGCGCTCGCGAAACGCCAGGCGAGTGTGTTACCACTTCGCCAATAATACACATGTGGGTATAATATACCAACACATGTGGGTATATTGTACAAAAGGTACAATAAACCCACATGTGTGGTATAGCTAGATGGTTGTAATAGCTAGATGATTGGTGTTTACTAGTTGTGTTTTGCGGGGGTTGAGCTTTGCTCTTTCGGCCGAACTGGTATATCTAGATTGGTGGAATAGCCTAATTTGTGGTATTGCCAGATGGTTGGTATAGCTATAATGGTGGTATAGCCTGATGTGTGGAAGGAGGGAAAAGGGAAAGGGGAAGGGAAGGTCGGAAGAGGAAATAGGGGAAAGGGTGAGATATGGAGGATAAGGGGATTTTATTTTTCTAGTTTAGTTTCAGCCTCATCATCTATACAGCTTCTATCCTCCATGGCTAGGGTTAGAGATCTGTTAGGCAACACAGAGTGCAGCGAGTTATTGAGCACTCAACCACTGGTGTTTAAAGTACTTATACAATGCATGTATACAGTGCATATACATACATTCCTAATAAAATCTCTGAAGGGGGGGGGGGGAATTCAAACCGTGGGGGTCCACGGTTCGAGACCCATATACAGCCCAGGTGAATGGAATACATACATCCTCGTCTGTCTTATATAGACAGAAATAGAGATCTGTTCTCCTGCATACTGCATGTATTATTGAGCACTCAACCACAGAAGGAGTTTTTTTTTGCCATATGCTAACCAGCATCTGTTCTTGTCTGCCCTACACAGACAGGGTTAATATAGAGACCAGCGGGATGCCTCTCTGTTCGCGACGGACTTTGCTCTGTATTACTATAACTTTCATATCGCCACTGATGGCCACTCCAAGATCCTTCTTTTCGACAGTTTAAACAGGTGATTATCCAGCGCAGTCTTTTCACACTGGATATTATTGCAGCTAAAGTTCCTCACCTTACATTTATCTACATAAAACTCAAAATCCGTGTCATTGATCACCGTGCAAGCCTATCCTTAACAGTAATAAACATATATGCTCACAAATGCGCCTGGATCATTTGGAAATGTTTTTTTGCAGAGTTTTCTAGGTGAGTGTCATGTAAGAGCTAGATTAAGTATGGTTAGGTTTGCTATGATTTGTCTTGCTTTCAATAGATAACATTTAAGAAAATTAATCGTAATATAATATTCACAATGCATTTATATAGAGAAAATCGTTAGAGCAGGAATTCTATATAAAATATTATACTCTATAAGAACATAGAATATATTTCCATGTGAACATTTATGCACATTAAAATACCGCGAATTAAATACAGTTATACATTACACACAGAAACTACAATATGCATCAAATGAACGAATCCACAAGGGCCGTGACGAGGGTTCGAACCTACGCCCGGGATTATCCAAGACGCGCCTTAGTCGACTATGCTACGACATGGTAAAAGAATTGCAACCTGGAGTGCAATGACAATGATAATTCCATGGGGGGAATTGTGTAAAACCCCGGTCTGTGCTTCGGAGAAGCTGCGGGAGCCTTGAGAGGGCAGTAGCACTCCAAGTTGTAATTCTTTTTACCATGTCGTAGCATAGTCAACTAAGGCGAGTCTGGGATCATCCAGGGCGTAGGATCGAACCCTCATCACGGCCCTTGTAGATTTGTTCACTGTTATACATATTTATATTTAGGGAACGTGAAGTCTTATTGAAAACTTTTTTGTTTTCAAGTAACTCCAATAATGTAGAAAAATGCTAGCATAATTTGGCACTAATGTCTTTAATAATGTAGGAAGCAATTCTCCAGAACCAAAACCCCTGAATTTGGTAATTATTCACCGCCAGAATACAGCTACACAGATTACTGATTTCCCTTCACATTCCTGTATTTGGCTGGCGGGAGATGGGTGTGGAAAATGTCAACTTTTATTGCTATAGGGATTTGTTGCTTTCAAATTGTTTGCTTTTAATTATAATTAATGGCTGTTGGCTGATGATCACTGTCGGTAAGCGTCCTGTACTTTTTATTATATGTTTCAATGAACAATACACAAAATTAGGCAGAATTGAAGTGAGTTTAGGAAACTGTGTAGGAAGACAGAGAGAACGTACTCACCTAGTTGTTCTTGCACGGGTTGAGCTTCGGCTCTTTGGTCTCGCCTCTCAATCGTCAATCTACTGGTGTACGGGTTCCTGAGCTTATTGGGCTATATCATATCTACATTTCAAACTGTGTATAGAGTCTGCCTCCGCAACATCACTGCTTAATGCATTCCATCTGTTAACTACTCTGACACTGAAAAGTTCTTTCTAATGTCTCTGTGTGTCTTTTTTTTTTTTTTTTAGTTTAGTTCATTTATTATGCACCCCATACCCATCTTGTGGGCGGTAGTGGAAAGGGTTACAGAGGCACATAATGGGCTCAGGGACTGAACCCCACAATTCATTTAGCTAAGCAAGTTACAATCTTGATGAGCTAGTTACTGAATTTTGTAACTAGCTCATCAAGATTGTAACTTGCTTAGCTAAATGAATTGTGGGGTTCAGTCCCTGAGCCCATTATGTGCCTCTGTAACCCTTTCCACTACCGCCCACAAGATGGGTATGGGGTGCATAATAAATGAACTAAACTAAAAAAAAAAACTAATGTCTCTATGGCTCATTTGGGTATTCAGTTTCCACCTGTGTCCCCTTGTGCGTGTACCACCAGTGCTAAATAATGTCCTTATCTACCCTGTTAATGTGGGGCATCAACATTTGATGTCCTTATCCTTTTGAAGTGGGAGCCCCCGAGGGAAGGTGATGTCGTGGGTGAGGAGAGGAATATCATTGAAGTGAGAAGGAACACCTTGAGGCAAGAAGATCGACCCCCCCTTGCGGCGAGAGGGATCCCCTTGAGGTGGGATTGAGAGAGCCTTTTGATGTGGGAGAGATGCCCTTGAGGTGGAAGGAATTCCCTTGAGGGAGTTGAAGGAGCCGGAATCCCCTTGAAGTTGGTGGAGAATGGTCACCTTGAGGTAAAAGGGATCCCCCTTGAAGTAGGGTGGAAAAGTAACTCTGTTGAGGAGGGAGGTGGATGAAAGAAGAACCTCCTTGAAGTGGGTGGAGGA